TCCGACATCCCCTCCTTCCTCGACTCCCTCCCCCCCTCCGAGCGCGAAGCCTGGATCGCGATGGAGCTCATCGACACCCCCGCCGGCGTCGGCAGCTACCTCGTGCGCGCCGCGGACGGCGGCGCAGGCGCAGGCACGGAGCGCCAGAAGACGAAGAGCGTCAAGGCGGAGGTCATCAGCGAGCTCGGCATATTCGGCTGGGCCCTCTTCGGCGCGGGGGAGGTGGTGAGCGAGGCGGAGGCCGGCTGGTTGGTCCGTACGAAGGGGACGGAGAGTAATGAGGGAGGGGTGGCGGCTGGCTTTTCCGTCTTGGACTCTGTGCTGCTCGTCTGATCGGGATCGACGGAGGACGGATGAGGTTTCTCGAGACGCGGACGATCGATCTGCGGTGTTTTCCTCTTTTCTTGCCTTTCTCTTCTGACGCTTCTTTTGAGTGTCCCTTTGGACGCTTGATGATCCCATTAATCTTGGAAGGAACGAGTAGCAGCTAGACGATAGTCAACTTTATGGTGTACGACTGGGATGGGGCTATTCAGTATAGAGATGCATTGTACCATGACCGGTATTCATCCAGTTGCACACATTGCACATGAACTTGCGACACGACACGACCAATAAGACAGCGATGGAACTTGTATATTGACTGCACTACCTGGCACCCAGAGCTCGTGTATCATCAGCCCTCCCATACCCAAAGGCGTTGACGCAACACAACACCTTCCAATGGCAGGTACGCATAGTGAACCTAGTGTAGCAGCAGCATTCTCTCGAACTAGACAGGTACAACATATACAACATCATTACAAAAAGAAAAGCTATATAAACCTCCCAAACGCAATCACCGTCGACATTTATACTACCATGATGATACCGCGAGTAGTCGTGATGCATTGAGCCAAAGAAAAATGCCAATAAGTTACAGCAAGCGACGATACCTAGATCTCGTCTTCATCCATCCAGATCCATCGTGAAGTCATGTCATAGAGTGTAGCGATACTAGATCCTAGTACAGCTGAAGAGAAAAACAAATAATCGGGGGGAAAGGGGGGAGAGAAGAAGACGAATTCGAAAACGAAGAGAAAGAAAGCAGGCTCTAGGATTGTCGTTTTCTCATCATAATCTCCGCCTTCCTGTTCGGGGTACAGTTCATCCCGAACCACTGATCTGCGGGCCGTACACCCTCGTCTTTCAATTTGATATCGTACGTCAGGACGAGATGCGCCATAATCGCTTTGAGCATGTTGGAAGCAAAGAACCGACCGGGGCTGTTCGCATCGCATCGCACATACCAAAGAAAAAAAAAAGCAAATAGTTATGAGAAACCCAGCTCTCCTCTCACGAGGAAGCAAACCCAAACCCAGAGGAACAAAATCCCACTCACCACGCATGCTTTCCATACCCAAAAGTGACATATCCCACATCCGTCGAGACAAGCTGATGCTTCGTCTCCTCCCCACACTTTTCTCTCATATCCGCAAACCGAAACGGATCAAACTCACTCGCGTTGGCGTAGTTGGCCTCGTCGAGATGCGTCGATGCAGAAGCTACTGCGACATGCGTCCCAGCCGGTATGACCGTGCCATTCGAGAACGTGAACGGTTTCAACGCCTTGCGGTTCATCGAAACTATCAACCAGAAAAGGGGGGCTCGTGGGTTAGTGTACGTGTAACGCGATAGGAACTTGAAAGGAAAGTGGAGGCGGAAGCGAGAGAGAAAAAGACAATAAACCTAACATACCAAGACTCAAAGCACTCACTCTCTGAGACTCCTTGAGAAAACTATCAATCTTTTTCAGCTTATCCATCGCAGCTTTCGTCCAGCCTTCTTCCTGCACAACCGCCTCTGCCTCTTCTCGCAGAGGCTGAAGAAGATGTGGGCGTGCAGCCAGGTGTAGAAGAGCGTGTGTGAACGACTACGATAGGATTCGTTCAAACTTCTATGAGCAGACGCAGATGTAGGACTAAACGCTTACTGAAGATGAACTATGGAGAGACGCAAAATTCAACACCAGTACTCGGAGTGCCACCGCTCGAGCGTTTCTTTCCTCTCGAGCTTCATCTAGCAACCAAGTGATCATGTCATTCTTTATGAAACGCCTTTTAACACTCAAAAAAAAAAAGGAAACCCGCTAACGCAGGGGCAGATTGTGCAACTCACCGGTTTATCAGCCCATTCTTCGCCATGCTCTTCAATGTCCCGCAAGCGATCATCGACGATGGGTCTAATATATTCTGTACAGCGCTCGATGCTGTTGGGTGTATTCGTCAACAAACGTCCAAAAAACCTGTGAACAAAGAGAGAGAGAAAGTTAAAAAAAGATGAAAACTGGTATCACTAACATCAACAAAAAGTCATTCACGGTTTTATAAAGTTCGGGAGTAGATTAACGATACTGGCACATACGATCACTTGCACGGCAAATTTTACGTGTAGATCTGCAAATTCCTGAGATCTGCCTTCAAAGACCCATTTCAACATGTCAGGGGCTAAGGGCAGGGCAGTAACTTTGTTTTTTTGATACGCACATAAAGGCAAACCAACAATCAGACGGTTACTCGTCCGACATGTGATGTTTAACATAGAGCTGTAAGCTGGAACGTTCACCCATTCTATCCCAGCCAGGGCTCTATTTTAAGTTTATGGCCGCAAGGCGGAAATTAACGTACCATTTCCATCTAAAGGTATAATATCATTGCAGGCGTGGACTATTTCATCTTGCATGTCGGCAAAAAGAGCAGGCATATTCCGAGTCAGCTGCGTCCGAATGACTGGGATGTGATATGGGTTTCTCTGAGCTTCTAGCCCAAACGTATATTCTACCTGCAAAATCTGAGCGGCCAAAACAAAACATTAATAAAAAATAAAATGTGAGCATAGTTCTGAAGGATGGAGAGGTCGGACACGGACATCATCGACGGCTTCCTGGAGGGAGAGCTCGTCATCTGCTACTTTTCGCATCTCATCGATAAGCTGTGATCCGGTGGCTATAACCATCCATCGATCCATCAGCGGAATTTTGAATAGCCCGCCCTTGTACTATGACAACCATGGTTGTCAGCGTGGCCAGGGAGAGGACAAAAGAGAAAGACAGACTTTGTCGTAGCCCTCCTGCATCATTCCTCGAGCATCGAGGATGAATCTGATAGCTCCGATATACGATAAGAGTGGCCCTGATGGCCCGACGGTTGGTATTTTGCTGAGCTAGGGGGACGTGAGGATGAGGCGATGTGGTCAGCAGGGAGAGAGCTCACGTCAGACCGCCTAGACCGCGGGAACAAAAAGGCCAGCAAAAGGGCGACGACGAGGGTGCAGAAGATGGGGCCAGGCATGAAGAGGGGATATCCAGGTGTGTCAAGGGAGGAGGAGGGAGGAGGAGGGCATTTAGCATTTGCATTCCCAGGGGTGCCATCGTATTTATGTCGGGGAAAGCAACGAGGTAACAAGTGAGATTTTAGCTTTTTCGCTCCGGTTAGATTAGATAGAAACCCGAGCTGTGGCGCAGAGCATGTCTGGAAGAAGGTTTTAGGTCCAACCTCTCCGTCTGCATCATGTAAGCAGCGACGTGTCAGACATAATAGAGGCTCGACTTACATTGTTACCTTGCATACCGAGCATGATATCGAGCGTAATACTGCGGCCATTATCACATCCATACCGGAAAATCCAGGAATAAGCTCAGCACCGCCTGGAATCGTGTAAGCCTGTGCGACCTCCCATCGATATCGGCCTCATCGTTGTATTCCGTGCAAGTGACTCCGTCTTTCTGTGTTCTCGTGCCAGCGCTTCTCTGTACTTACTTGTGACCCAATTACAAGCAAGGTGCAAAAAAAGACGGAAGAAGCGGAAACTGAGCTCTTCATTAATACGATGCCGAGAAGCCGGTGGGACCATGGATTCCCACGGGGGCTGAACATTTAACGAGCCACGGTGTCTCTCGAGGAGACCCAATTCTCTAGCACGCCGTGGGTATGTGTATAGAGGAGGCTGTAGAATACATCTCGGAGGGATAGAAATTTGCGCGGACGAGTCTTACTTTAATGCAGCACACTTTCGCTCCTTCGACTGGGTATGGAGGATCATCATGTGTGCCTCCCATATGGCGTTCATGCCGGATGAATAGAGGTAAACGTTGTCGGGTGAGACGTACGCGACACCTCGTATGCTATCTGGACCGCCATCAATGATGCCAGAAAAGAGGCTCTGAATGATGGCCTTGGCTTTCACGCCTGATTCCAATGGCTTGTGTATGTGATAGTAGTCCGCATCTCGCCAACTCCGGGGTGAGAGGGGAATAGTCAAAGTGCTGTGATCAACCAATCTTTCTGGCAACAGAGACAGACAATGTTCAGCCAAGCGTGAGGATATTCCTGTTCTTCTGTACATCCAGAATTGCATAGCTTGAGAGAATGAAGTAGATGGACAAAGTACTGCGAAAAGGTCTGGGACACTATCAGGAAAAAGGAGGGAGATGGTTGGATCGTCCATGAACAGCAACTCGATGTGTAAGACCTGTGGTTCTCCCGCATAGTATCACAACACAATGGGATCCGCACCCGTGTACAGTGATTCTGGACCTTCTGGGCATGCAACCAATCAGTATGCTTTCCAAGTACGCCTTGGTAGCTTAGTTGGTAAAACACCAGACCATGAAAGCTGGAGTCCCAGGTTCAAGCCCTGGCCAATGCATGTTTTCTCATACTATAAACAAATGTCATAATTTGTCACATAGTCGGGCTGCTTTTGTATGAACCCTTGGCAATGTTTGGCTATCCTAGATGAAGGGAAGAGCAGGCATTCCTCACTCTGAGATCCATGCAGATCCATGCAGATTTTATTGGGCTAGTAGGATGGCAAAATGAGCAATGCTATGCCAGTTTGGGTTCGTACGGGTCTACGCACCTGTTCAACATGGCTATGAAGCTGTACTCGTGGATATGAGGTTTTCATAGCTTTTATAGCCCACTTTTTGTTATCCACGTTTCGACGACATCAAGCCAAGTAGGCAAGGGGTGTGTGACTACGTGTGGGGAATTTGGGGGTACTGCTGCTCCGACGAGCTTGGTGCCGCCGGTTACTGGTGGGCTAGTGTTCATTGTGGGAGGGGGGAGTGAGGATGGCGAGGAGGACAAGGAGCTTGTGGATAAGCCATGCAAACATCGTCGAGATAGGTATTCAGCGGGGAGCTCAAATGTGTCGAGGGTCTCACGCAGGACGAGGACACTGCTTGGTCGCCATCAGTCGGTGCATAAACATCATTTTGAGGGCTCCTTCCCACTAGGTGTAACAACCAAGAGTTAGTTACTCTGGCGCACACAGGAACACACTATAAAGGTGGTGATGAGGGAGTGGTTACCCCTTAAGCTGCAGAGAGTTTGTTGGTATACAACAGGAGGACTCGCTGAGGAGTCTCCTTGATCTATTGGGGTATTTATACTAATACAGAGTGTTTGTACCTATGTACTGTACAGTTGATAAAAGCAGTGGCTGATGATGTCAGAGGGCGCAGCCTGTGTGATCAGCTCCACTGCATGAGAGACTTTGTGTCTAAAAGAAGAATAAAGGAAGTGTCATGCGAGAAAGTGGAGTTAGAACGAAAAAGGAAAGTGCCACATGGCACAGAGTGTGAACTATAGTAAAAGGTTAAGGCGGAGAATGAAAATCAAAGGAAAGGTCCGAAAATTGTGTTATCGTAACACTAGATGCATGTAATCTAAATGCCACTGCCATCACGCCTCCCAGTTCTCATTATGCTGCACGTTGCTGTGACGGGTCTGCCCTCTTCTCGAAGCATGGCAGTTTGATGAACGCATTGGGATTGTAGTCGGGCGACAGGGATGGGAAGGTGTCAATACTCGAGGTGGGTTGTTATTTGACTGCTGACAGGAGAATCGTCCTCATTCCCTAGCAGACACTTGGCTGCCTTTTATACATCAAACATTCGGACATACAGCGTACGGAAGGCTGAAAGAGAGGACGACTCAGCACTCGCGCTCAGTGATCAATGGGTACTCCGAGTCCGAGCCCTTCTTTCTCTGCATTAATACACAGGAACTTGTCCTTCTTCGCATCGAGTTAAATCCTACGCATGCTTTGATATTTGGCCTAAATAATTGTCGTGATGTATGACGGCGAGCGATACCAAACAGAAAGCACCACCTCTATCGATATTCCGGCCAAAAGGATCCTCATGCTGAGTCCAAGCTGGACGAAGATGAGTGCTACCTCACTTCGTCTCCACAATTGATAGCACTCAAACCTTGGCTAGAAGAACATTGTTATGTATAATCTACAAAGAGTCCTTCGGAAATCCGTCCCCAGGATTCAAACCTAGGGCATCCAACGTTTGGCCATGGCTGGACATTCATGTTAATGAGGCAGCCAATGCCAATGAACGTTCAACCTGCCAGATAATCAATGTAGGATGTTATTTGCCGTCGTCTCGATGAGCCATGGCATGACAAGAGAGTTGAGGATTAGCTGCTTTCATCGATGTGTTTACAACTTGTCGAGCATGGTTATACCAAAAAACTGTGTATAGAATTCTTCCTAGAATCAAATTTGACCTCCGGGAGTCGAACCTAGTGCACTGCGTGTGCCCGCTAGGCGACATTGATCTGATTATCTGGGCTACTTGTCTCAAGGATGATGCATGCTGTCGATGATGAGAACTGCTGTTAGAAAACCACACACAAAAACAAACTAACACACAATCCTCCCAGATTCCACGGAACTTGTTTATGGGCTTTGCCTCCTAGAACAGTGGGTGCTCTGGTTGTTCGTGGGGTGGTACATATAACAACCCTTCAAAGTAAAACCCAGAGGTGTATGAGTGTGGGTTTTGAGGAGGAGGGATAGTTGAATTTATAGAAAGATAGGTGCTTTGTGGCGAGTATAGACGAGCACTACCTTGCTATTTGTAGCACAAGGTAGGTTTGAGAACGACAATATGACGAGGTTCCCAGTGATAGCAGGCTCCTGACGCACAAACTGTAGTGTTCAGAAGGACTCTAATTGAAAGGGATGACAATGACTTCAAAAGTGGGAAGTGACAATGACAGCAGTTGACAGTGGTAGCAGTGGGAAGTGTTGTGACCACACTGGATCACAAGTAGTAGTAAGAAGTGGACTTAAGATTAGAGAAGAAGTCTGGGTTTGAGTTCTTGTTGTTTTACAAGGTAAAATACAGGGGTTTATATAGTGAAAGAAAAGTAGGCTATGCACAGTATAGCTGTGCAAAAAGAATGAGAAAGAACATGAAGGAAGGAATGTATGCTGACAAATCCTGCATAGGTAGTACAGGATAAGATTGTCAAAAAAAGAAAAGAAAGGGATAGAACAATGAATGCTGTGAGTAATGTCACAGGTTTGTACAGCCATAAAGTAAAGTCCAATAGCAAAAAGAGAGCAGGAAAATCATGATGTCATGGGAAGATGCAGTAAAAAAAAGGGCAAGGCAAAACACTATCAGTATCAACACAGTTCCTTTATTGTCAGTCAGGCATTCTAAAAAATATATGTCCATAAAAATGATTCAAAAATCAAAAATAATTGCACTGTAAATGAATGTTCTGCTGAAGAAAAAGAAACTGGAGCCACCGGTCCACCACCTAGTCCAAATCCGACAGTTCCATGGCCTTACCAATGGACTGGTTGTGTTGGACCACCTGATCAAACAAGGGAGGGAGAGGAGTAGTTCCAATTTGGAACAAGTGAGTCCCAGGCAGCGTGTGGTAGGTGTAGCTGTAGCAAAGACGATGGACAAAAGATAAGTGTACCCAAGTGAATGGGACAGCGATGAACATGGGCAACGCAAGGGGATGAACCTTCTCCAGCTCAAAAACTACCCACCCACGCTCCAACCAGGCAAGACAAGCGACCGATGTTTTGATAGTATATGATGGCAGATCAACGTCATGAAGATGGACCTGTTGCCCTATTTGGACCGGCCGCCGGGGCTTTGCTGATATCAGCAGTGGCACGTGGTAGTCAACGGATTGGCGACGGAAGCGGATAGGAAGTGGTGACATCAGAAATAGTGGGGGTGCAAATAAGATGAGGAGGAGGAGGGTGGAGGTGACAAAAAAGTGGATTAGAATGGGGATCCAGAAACGACCGTCGGGTGAGAATAAAAAGGAGAGGAAGGGGCCCATGTTGGGGCTAGGCAAAGGAAGGGGAGTAAGGGAAACGACAAAAGCGAGGGCGCAATGCAATGTGTAGCCAGTGGTGACGCGAAAATTTGCCGAAATGCTGAAATGCGGAAAGTACCGGATGGAAAAGCAAAGGTGAGCGTGACTGGATTGCCTAATAGAGGTGGTGCTGATCAGCCACAAGTTCAAAAAAGGCAATATTAATTACTATTCCACGTGGCACTGTGCCTGTGTGGTGCAAAGGCGAGTCTTTTTGAATATTCGCTTCGTTATTGACACCTGTCCATGCTACCAATCAACTTTGGTGCATGACATCGCCGTCGGAATAGAGAGTGTGACGGGACAGCTTCAAGTTCTTTCAATGAACGTACTCAATCTGCCGCTGGATACTTAACTCGCAATTTTGCAGTCCATATGCGTATATATGGCAGTGTTTGATCTGTAGCAGGCACACCTTCGCGGAACCAATGGACAAAATGACTGCATGTGGGTCAAAACTTTGAAAATGTGTTCATTGTTGTATGTGGCTTGGACGTCTCACACCCTATATGCATCTGTTTGTTTGCGACGGTCACTGAGCCGCCTGTTAGGAGATACGGAGGGCTCAAGGACCAGGATAGGATTTTCACCAATGCGTATTGCAGGCATGACCATGGCTTGAAGGGTGCCCAGGTGTGTGTGATTCCTATATGTGTGGCTTGGGGCTGAGGGTGGTGTAGTCAAGAGGCGACTGGCACCGCACGAAGGATATCATCCTCAAAGGCGACTCGTGGATCATCCAGACTATCAAAGACCCGGGTCTGCGCGGACGTGGCAGCGCTGGCTTTCCTAGTGGTCTCAAGTGGAGTTTTATGAACAAGCCTGGATGGGAGAAGGATCCTAGATGTGTTTGCTGTCTCCCTGGTTACTCACTAACTCACACTCCCGCCAACAGACAGCGGTACCTGGTGGTGAACGCCGACGAGGGCGAGCCAGGGATGTGCAAGGACCGCGAGATCCTCTGCGGGGACCCACACAAGCTCGTGGAGGGCTGCCTGGTGGTGGGGCGGGGCATGAACGCCACGGCGGCGTGCATCTACATCTGCGGCGAGTTTTTCCAGGAGGCGATCAATGAGGTGTACACTGTGGGGCTCCTTGGGAAGGACGCCTGTGGGTCGGGGTACATGTTTGACGTGTATCTGCACCGCGGGGCGGGAGCGTACATCTGCGGTGAGGAGACGGCGCTGATCGAGAGTCTCAAGGGCAAGCAGGGGAAGCCGCGGTCAAAGCCCCCGTTCCCGGCTGATGTGGGGCTGTTTGGGTGCCCGACGACGGTGGCTAATATGGAGACTGTGGCTGTTGCGCCGACAATTTGTAGGAGGGGGGGCAGCTGGTTTGCGGGGTTTGGGAGGGAGAGGAACCAGGGGACCAAGTTGTTTTGTGTTAGTGGGCATGTGAATAACCCGTGTATTGTCAAGGAGGAGATGAGTATTCCGTTGAGGGAGTTGGTCGAGAGGCATTGTGGCGGTGTAAGGGGCGGCTGGGATAATTTGTTGGGCATTATTCCAGGGGGGTGTTCGGTGCCGGTTTTGCCTATTGATAAGTGTGGAGAGGTTTTGTGAGTGTTTCCGTTGCTTTAAGGGCTTGAGCTGGGGTAGGATGGACTATGATTTGCTTAAGGATGCCCAGTCGGGGTTGGGAACTGGTGCTGTTATTGTCATGGACAAGATTGTTGCTGCTATTGCTTGTTTCTCACAGGTGCGCGCCATTATTCTTCTGCATTGGCTTCTTACTAATATGATTGGTAGTTTTACAAACACGAATCCTGTGGGCAATGCACACTGTGTCGGGAGGGTACCACTTGGATGATGAATATGATGGACCGGATGGTCGAAGGACGGGGTCACATCAGGGAGATTGACATGTTGCTCAAGTTGACGTGTGTTCCCATCCCCTTTCCTCCCTTTCCTTTACTCATTCCCCCTTCCTAGTAAACAAGCCCCCTTCCTAGTAAACAAGTTGAGGGCCGTACAATATGCACTCTGGGCGATGCAGCAGCGTGGCCGATCCAAGGTCTGATGCACCATTTTTGGCCCAAGGTGGAAAATTGCATTGCAAAGTTTAGGGAGGAGAGGGGTGCAGTTGTGTTTGGGGGTACGTTGGTGAGTGGGGTGAATGATGTGTTGGCTGTGCCGGATAATTTGGGGGCAAGGTTGCCTGTTGGTGTGTAGGGAGGAATAAACTTTGAGTTCAGGCCTTTCTTTTCCGAGAGAAGGAATGACGAGAAATTCAACAAGGATTCTGTTTATAAGCTTTTGAAATTAAGCATCACTGTTTAGCTTGTGGCAGGGTTTGCAGTGTGGATTCTTCGAATGCAGTATAAGAACCCCTACGCTTGACACAAAGCTGTGGAAACCTGGCCCTCGCAGGGGACAGAAAACACTAACTCACGGGAACAGCAGATACTATGAATGATGAGTGATATTGAGAGCGAGTATAGATGTCTAAAGAATGAGGGGAAAGCAAAAGGAAAGAATGCGGAATCTAGCAAGGTGGGTTATACGACCAGAAGCAGAAATTGGACCAATGTACGGAATCAAAGTATTGGTCCAGGCGTGTCATCATAAGTGTGCGTCATGCGTCAAGGTAAGTAGTAGTCACGTCATCGAGTAGTAAGCAGGCTTACAAGCTGACAAATCAAATAATTGGCTTGTAGAAAATTGCGTAGCGTCTTGAAAGTTTGCAGCAACCTATATTATTATTTAGAATGAGTTTTGAAAACCACTCAACAAGGTATCAAAATTGTTGATGATGCTTAGCCTGGTAAGTCCGGCTTTATTATATACCGTATCCAGGTCCTTGACGATCGTCGCTAGTCACGTGGCAAGGTCGAAGGCCACACTAGTAGCCAAACTTGTACAAATAATTCTTCATGACTCTCTCTCGCCATCTCGTTAAATCCCCGATTGCAATCAGTGAGTATGTTCATCTGGTTACGTTGATGTATCTCATTGCGGTCAGAATATACTCTACAATGGCGAATATAATCCGTTCTGCCAAGTCTGGCTGTGACTGGACCTCGAATGACCTGATCGCCTATAACATCACAATCCGGCGCCAATCCTCGGACTCCTTCTTCGGATATACGCCCAACATAATACCTGATGCAATCGATCCAGCTTTCCTGACCGCTACTGTCCCTCCCGATGACAATCTGTCCGATGGCACCTACAGACTCCTTCAATACCTAGATCTTGCCACCCACGCAAACTCCGGCCAGGAGTCAGCAATCCATGATTTTGCCAAAGAGCTGCTTCGCTTGCTTGGGTTTGAAGAGCGAGGAACTCTCCTGCGATCACGCTATGCCATTCCTTTTATGATATGCGGTGATGATAGGCGTTCAGCACAGGCTGACCTATGCTTGGTTCAAGGCAACACGACGATTCTACTTGTGATCCAAGAAGACAAAACGGTCATCAGTACCAAGAATCCCGAAGCGCAGGTCATTGCTGAAGCCATCGCTACTTTCCAATACAACAACACTGCTCGCGATCGCAATGGCTTAGATCCGCTTGATTCCATGATAATTCCTGCCATCACTATGATCGGCACTCGTCCCGTTTTCTACAAGATACCCGTCACTCAGGAGCTGAGCGATGCTATTACTACGGCTCAGTACCCTGTCTCCAAAACAGAAGCGGTGAAGTGTGTAGTTGCGCCGCACTCCCGTCGCCTGAGCGAAGGAATGGAAGTGCCTGAGTTTAGGCGGGAGGTTTTGCAACATTATGAGGCTTTCGGAAAAATGTCGAAGGAATGCTGGGAAAGTTTCATCATCTGATATCGCTGTGGTCAGTTTCATACTCTCTCTTTCAAATTTTCCCACCGTAACGAGCTTTCATAGGGCCAGGGAGCCTAATCATTTTCCGTGTCCTTCCTTTCTCTATCCTCCTTGCTCGTGAATAGCTTTCTATCGGGCCCGTTATGACGATTGTGTATTTTAGATTTGAACATGCAGATAGCTTCAGTCCCTAGGCTGTTCTCAAAGAGGTCCCTGCTACCAAGTACTGGCCATTCCAGGGTGTGCTGGGTGCATGGGCCAACGGATACCACCTTTAGCTTCCCAGGTATCTAAAATGGGCCAAGGGCTGTAGTTGAATGTGTCCTTCGGGAGATGGCGTTTCATACATGATACCGTTTTTCAGGGCCCTTTGGCGCGCCCTTCCCTTCAGTCTCTTGGAATAGGATTGTACATAGACGGTAGAGCCGCATGACGTAGGCAACCCGACGTCGGTCATTCTGGGTATGCGGGGTCTTTCTGAGGCGACGTCTCGCGGGCATCCGGGGGGACCACTATCCGGCGGGGACTGAGGAGGAAGTTCATCATGCATGTGGGTCCTACGAATAGTGGGAAGACGCATCATGCATTACGTGCTTTGGCTGCTGCGCCTACGGGGATCTACGCAGGGCCTCTACGCCTACTCGCCCACGAGATCTGGGAGCGTCTGAATCTCGGACAGATCGTCCCAGCAGGGATAGAGGAAGAAGCCCCACCCGCATCCGACTCGGCATTCGACGTCAGTCCGGAGAAGGCGTCTCTGACGAAAGTGGGGAACCCCAAGTACGCTAGGGGGTGCAATTTGATCACGGGGGAGGAGGTGAAGATCGTGGATGAGAACGCGAGGCTGTATAGTTGCACGGTGGAGATGATCAAGACGAATATGCTGTACGATGTTGCGGTGGTGGATGAGATCCAGATGATTGGGGATTCGGAGCGGGGGTTCGCGTGGACGGAAGCGGTGCTTGGGCTCAATGCGCGGGAGATCCATCTGTGTGGGGAGGAAACGGCGGTGCCGCTCGTCGAGGCGATGCTGAGAGAGACAAATGACGACCTGGTGGTGAATCGGTACGAGAGGCTCACGCCGTTGGAGGTGGAGAAGCAGAGTTTGGGGGGCAATTTGAGTAAGATCAGGAAGGGGGACTGTATTGTGACGTTTTCGAGGAGGTCGATCTTTCAGATGAAGAGGGATGTGGAGAAGACGATGGGGGTGACCTGTGCTACTGTTTATGGGAGACTGCCGCCCGAGGTGAGGAGCGAGCAGGCGGATCTCTTCAACGATGCCAACAACGGATTCGACATCCTCATTGGGAGCGACGCTATTGGCATGGGCTTGAATCTGTTCGTTTCATTTAATCTGTTCTCTAACGGTAGCTAACGAAATAAACAGCAAAATCCGACGTATAATAATCGCACAAGTCCGCAAATATCACGACAACCACGTACAATACCTCTCTATCTCGTCCACGAAGCAGATCGCTGGTCGTGCTGGGCGATTCGGCTTGCACGGAAAAGAAAGCCCAGTTGGTCTGACGACGACTCTGAACGAAGAAGACCTCCCGTTCCTCACGCGCACGATGAAGCTCCCCATCCCATCCCTGAAGACCGCGCGCATCACCCCGTCGAACCCGTCGCTCGTCGCCACAGCGAGCGCGCTCCCCCCGCATTCCGCGATGAACACCATCTTCCTGGCCCATGCATACACGTCGAAGCTCGCACCGACGTACCGGTACATCTACAGCGGCGCGACGCGCGTGTGCACGAATTACTTGGACGCATACATCCAGGGCGTGTCGATGACGGATTTCGAGGTGATGCTGGCTGCACCCATCCCGTGGCGCGACCGGGAGCAGGAAGCTATTCTGAACGAGGAATTACCCCAGTTCACTCGGGATATCCAGGTGCAAGGTCATGGTGCGCTGAACATACACTATGTCCATCAGAAGAGCCCAATCGTCGACGCAATACCGTTGTTATTCATGCATGGATGTGCGTGTTCCAGTCTAATGCACAGAACACGACTAATAACATTATCTGTAGGGCCAGGCAGCTTCATTGAAGTACGAAAAATACTTCCACTGTTAACAGCGTCATCGCCGGACTATCCTAGCTTCCATGTCGTCGCGCTCAGTTTACCCGGATACGGCTTTTCTCAGGCGACCAAAAAACAGGGCTTCAAGACAGGACAACACGCAGAGGTGAATGTGATGTCCTCACGCTGTTGTTAGGTCTAACCATCGACTATAGGTTGGAAAGCGAATACTCCGTACTGCTCGCGAGACGAAACTCTATCTTGGACACACAACAATATACGTATTCTGGTAAGAAAATGAAGACCAACATGAACGCCTGAAAAACATTTATCTCCTCATGCCATCAACCCAAAGTTAGAAACCGACTTTCGACGCGGGAATCGTCGAATTACCACTGGGTCCTCATGCTAGATAGCAAATTTGTTAACATGTCATATAACCTGAGAATAATCCTGACACGTACAACCCAGAACGGCATCGTTTCGACTCGGATATCCACACCCTTCTGCTCGCAGATACCCCTCAATTCCACAAATTCCTCCAGCTGTTCCGAATTAGCATCACATGTGAGCACTCTCAAGCGCGGGAGCCCACGAATTGCGTTCACGATCGGACGCAGTGTGGTGCGATAGTTGTGCAGTGGGTTCCGGAAGCTAAAGTGTTCGATTGTCTCTGGCAGGCCAACGAGCGGAACGAGGGTGGGTATGTGGAAGACGAAGAGTTCTTCGAGACGGGGGCACATGCGCATGAGGGACGCGGAATCGTTGGAGAAGTGCCATAGCCGCAATGAGCGTAGATGGGTACAATGTGCTGCCAGTACTCGTTTCACGTCTGGTCCTGGCATGTCGCGGAGGTCCACGACGCGAAGAGACGAGCCCGAGCTATAGAGAAGCCAGGAAAGGACTTGAGCAGAAAGTGTCCTCGATAGAACAAGGTCGTATAGACGAATGCGAGAGCCATACTGAGCTACATCTCCATTATTCGAGTCACCATCCTTATTATTGTGGATAATAACAGGTGGTGCAGCTGAAATCTCTGTACCGATCTTCAGAAACTGTATACTTGGCCAAATAGTAAGCAATTGGTAGACAATCGGGGACTGCACCCCGCAGTACATCAAATTCAATGCCCTCAAGCTCTGTCCACACCCGCTCTTCCTCAGATCATCCATGACCTCCTCGCTGAATGCGTGAACTCCGTATGTGCTGAGTCCAAGCTCATACAGACGCGGACACGCTTTGAGGAGCTGTGCGAACTCATATGGGCCATAGCTATCATTCATCGACCGACCAACGGTGATATGGAGGCTGCGCACGCGTTCACCCAAGGCGCGCCCGCGGGCTGTGTGTGGGTTTATGGCAGCGTGGAAGATGGGTGCATTATTTGAGCGTAGCTGCGTTGTGCATCGAAAAAGGAGAGATTGGGCTGGGTAGGACCAGGATGTGCAGACGAGGGAGCAGGCGGAGAGAAAATCGTAGTCTGGGAAGCCATCCGGTTTGTAGTATGCTCTTTCAAAGACGGAGAACAGAAGCTCAGTGGGTATGGATATCATGGAATATTAGCAATGTACTGAGGACGATGGCAATGCTTATCAGTGCAAACTGGCAAGTGAGAAATTTGAAAACGCTGTTTCACAAACTTATCAGGGTCAATTACATAATGGTCTGCGGAGGATTCAAGGGCTTCCGCCCTTTTTTCTTCGAATGCGTTAGCAATCTGTGTGGCAATGGAGAATTTGCACTATCTTACACACCTCTCCCTACAATAACGATAAGTAAAGCGAAAGAGAACAGGTTTACTGGAAATCCGAGATCGTGATAAAGAGACTGGACAATTTGCCGCCACGCAAACTGTGTCGGAGATTTGGTATTCTTGGTTGCAGCCGGGTGTGGCTGCAGTGGTATTGTAGACCGGTTATGACAGGAATGCCGGTGTAGATTAACCAAGATTACATTACATAACGATGTTGCAAGCGTTATCGCAATGTCGGAAAATCCAAATCCCATAATTTGGCCGGATGTGGTCTGATTAGGTTGTCAGAAAAATTACCAACAGATTAGATACAAAACACTGTGAACAGGTCAGATTAGATATCAATCAGAATGATGGGATCGACAGTGCTGAGAAGTCTGAACTTACCTGGAGCAATGATCAGGAGGACACACCTGAAGTGTCTGAATCTCCTGAGCAGAGTGAAAGAGTCCACCAGGCTGTCCTGAAAAATCAGCCTGAATATACAGATAGTGATAGTTGGTACCAGCAAAAGTAACTATGTCCAATTGGGCTGAACATGCCTGATTCAGTTTTGTTCAGTCTGACATTTCGGTGTAATCATCATTATCATTGGCTCTTTCAGGCCATAATTATCAATGAATGGAGAATGACAAAAACCAGAATTTATTTGCAGGTGTGGCAGCAACAACTAAGTACTCTAGTAATGGCCTACACCCCAACTGGTACTACAACTTGATCACAGCGAGACTCAGTGTTGATGATGAGAACTGCAGTTAGAAAACCACACACAAAACAAACTAACACACAATCCTCCCAGATTCCACAAAACTTGTGTATGGGCTTTGCCTCCTACAACAGTGGAGTGGTATGGTTGTTTGTGGGGTGGTACATACAATGATCCTTCAAAGTAAAACTCAGAGATGTATGGGTGTGGGTTTTGAGGAGGAGGGATAGTTGGAAGATAGATGATAGGTGACAAAACCGGATAAACTGTGATAACCAGACCCTATACTGAGCTAACAGAGGTCTAGTCGTCTAATCACAAGCAGGGTCTAACAAGAGTGTATAAAGATGTAATCAACAGCTGGGGGATATGTACAAGAGGTAGCTGTATATATACTAAAGGACATGTGTCATAAGCAAGGCGCTGACTGAGCGACATGTGTAAGGCATGAGGCTCTTGGTAATTGTCTTTGTAAGTGACTACGTCATAGGTCACGTGACTATGATAAGATAAGATTCGGAGAAATTATAGATATGGTATCGTTATTGGTTTGAGATAGAGTGTCAGATTTAAGAGATCGTGACATTACCCCCTCCGTAGGACTCTCGTCCCGGGAGTATGCCTCGAGTTTACCATTTTCCCAATTAAACAGATTTTTTCGGATTTTTGGAGTTTCTGTGAAGTTTTTGAATGCTTGGAAATGTAATGCGAATCAGATTTGTCGGCGTGCACTAGGGTTTTTTGTATGGAATTGTTGTAGGAATTTTGGGGAGTTTTTTACATTCCCTTCAGGTTCCCATGTGTGTTCCTCTTTTGGATATCCTTTCCAATGTACTAGGTATTCTAGTTTATTCCTTTTCATTCGTGAGTCTAGTATCTCTTCTACTTCATACTCTTTCTGTCCTTCCACTATTGCCGGTGGTGGTGGCTTTGGTTTTTGTTGAGGGGAATTTAGCTTGTCGGAACAGAGTTAGGATGGATTCATTGAAGACTGGATAGACATTTTGCCACTTTCTGGGGAGTCGGAGTTTGTAAGCTCCTAATCCTACTTTCTTTTTGATTTTGAAAGGGCTGTGTCTTTTGTCATTGAGCTTCTTTGTTGGTCTGTCCATTTGTATATGACTGGCTTCAACATATACTTTGTCACTGATTTGGTATTCAACCTGATCTCTCTTTTTCTTATCGTATTGTTTTTTCATATTTTCTGCTGCCTTGTACAGTGATTTTTCTGCCGCCTCTCTGCTTTCCTTCATCCTTTCTACAAATTCTTCCGCACTCTCACCCTTTACTTCTCTTTTAGTGTCTATTGTCATTTTTGGATGTTGACCACTGTTTAGGTAAAATGGGGAATGACCCATCGCACTGTGTTCTTTGTTGTTGTATGAGAATTCTGTAACAACCAAGAGTTAGTTACTCTGGCGCACACAGATACACACTATAAGGAAGATGATGAGGGAGTGTCTACCCCTTGAGCTGCAGAGAGTTTGTTGGTTAACAACAGGAGGACTCGCTGAGGAGTCTCCTGGATTTATTGGGGTATATATACTACTACAGGTTTGTTTGTATATATGTACTATACAGTTGATAGAGGCAGTGGCTGATGATGTCATAGGGCCTAGCCCATATGGCCAGCTCCACTGCATGAGAGAGTAGAATCTAAAATAAGAGAAAAGGCAACGCGGCGCGAGAAAGAGGAGTTAAAACAAAAAAGGGAAAAGCCGCGTGGTGCCATGTGCGAAAGCTAAAGTACAAAGTTAAAGCGGAGAATGAAGAGAAAGGAAATGTCCGGAAATTGTGTTATCGTAACAAATTCTGCGAGTGGTAGCCATTCTGCCCAGTCTGTCTGTTTGTGGTTTAAGAATATCCTAAGATACTGTTCTATCTCTTGGTTTACTTGTTCTGTTTGTCCATCCGTCTGTGGGTGATAAGCTGTAGATGGATTTCCCTTAATGTCTAGAAGGGTATAGAGATCTTTGATAAAGTTCGAGATGAATTGAGTCCCACAATCTGAGATTACTTTGTTAGGTAATCTGTGGTGTCTGAAAATGTTGTCTTGGAATAATCTCACTACTCCTTCTAACATGAGCTCTGCTTGTGTCAGTATGACTTGAATCATTTTTGAAAATCGATCTACCACTATCATAATCATGTTATAGCCTTGTGATTCTGGTAGAGGTCCTAAGAGGTCGACAGTTATAATTTCCCAGGGTCATGTAGGGATTTCATTTGGATGGAGCGGTGCAGCTTTCTTCTGATGAATTGGCTTGGTTCTTTGGCACATTTTGCATCCTTCAATGTATCTTTTGATGTCTCTGTCCATGTATGGCCACTGTTACGATAACACAATTTTCGGACCTTTTCTTCATTTTCATTCTCCGCTTTAACCTTGTATACTTTAGCTTTCACACATGGTGCCACGCGGCACTTCCCCTTTTGTTCAAAACACCTCTTTCTTGCGCCGCATTGCCTTCTTCTTATTTTAGATACAACTCTCTCACACAGTGGAGCTGGTCATGCGGGCTAGGCCCCATGACATCATCAGCCACTGACTTTATCAACTGTACAGTACATAAGTACAAACACTCTGTATTAGTATATATACCCCAATAGGTCCAGGAGACTCCTCAGTGAGTCCTCCTGTTGTATACCAACAAACTATCTGCAGCTTAAGGGGTAACCACTCCCTCTTCACTACCTTTATAGTGTGTTCCTGTGTGCGCCAGAGTAACTAACTCTTGGTTGTTACAGCCACCACTGGTCTTGTGTTATGAGTTCTTTTGTTTTGTATTGTCCTGGGTGACCGGCTATAATGGAGTCGTGATTTTCATGTATGATTTTCTCTCTGAGCTTTGCATCTTTTGGGACATACATCCTTGCTTTGAAGAATATGAATCCTTCATTATCTTTCCGCCACCCGTTGTCGATGATGAGAACTGTTGTTAGAAAACCACACACAAAACAAACTAACACACAATCCTCCCAGATTCCACGGAACTTGTTTATGGGCTTTGCCTTTTAGAACAGTGGAGTGGTCTGGTTGTTCGTGGGGTGGTACATATAAAGATCCTTCAAAGTAAAACCCAGAGGTGTATGAGTGTGGGTTTTGAGGAGGAGGGATAGTTGAATTTATAGGAAGATAGGTGCTTTGTGGCGAGTATAGACGAGCACTACCTTGCTAATGGTAGCACAAGGTAGGTTTGAGAACGACGAGGTTCCCAGTGATAGCAGGCTCCTGACGCACAAACTGTAGTGCTCAGAAGGACTCTAATCGAAAGGGATGACAATGACTTCAAAAGTGGGAAGTGACAATGACAGCAGTTGACAGTGGTAGAAGTGGGAAGTGTTGTGACCACACTGGATCACAAGTAGCAGAGAGTAGTGAACTTGAGATTAGAGAAGAAGTCTGGATTCGAGTTCTTGTTGTTTTACAAGGTAAAATACAGGGGTTTATATAGTAAAAGAAAAGTAGGCTATGCACAGTATAGCTGTGCAAAAAGAATGAGAAAGAACATGAAGGAAGGAATGTACACTGACAAATCCTGCATAGGTAGTACAGGATAAGATTGTCAAAAAAGGAAAAGAAAGAGATAGAACAATGAATGCTGTGAGTAATGTCACAGGTTTGTACAGCCATAAAGTAAAGTCCAATAGCAAAAAGAGAGCAGGAAAATCATAATGTCATGGGAAGATGCAGTAAAAAAAAGGGCAAGGCAAAACACTATCAGTATCAACACAGTTCCTTTATTGTCAGTCAGACATTCTAAAAAAATATGTGTCCATAAAAATGATTCAAAAATCAAAAATAATCGCACTGTAAATGAATGTTCTGCTGAAGAAAAAGAAACTGGAGCCACCAGTCCACCACCTAGTCCAAATCTGACAGTTCCATGGCCTTACCAATGAACTGGTTGTGTTGGACCACCTGATCAAACGAGGGAGGGAGAGGAGTAGTTCCAATTTGGAACAAGTGAGTCCCAGGCAGCGTGTGGTAGGTGTAGCTGTAGTGAAGACGATGGACAAAAGATAAGTGTACCCAAGTGAATGGGACAGCAATGAACATGGGCAGCGCAAGGGGATGAACCTTCTCCAGCTCAAAAACTACCCACCCACGCTCCAACCAGGCAAGACGAGCGACCGATGTTTTGATAGTATATGATGGCAGATCGACGTCATAAGATGGACCTGTTGCCCTATTTGAACCGGCCGCCGGGGCTTTGCTGATATCAGCAGTGGCACGTGGTAGTCAACGGATCGGCAACGGAAGCGGATAGGAAGTGGTGACATCAGAAATGGTGGGGGTGCAAATAAGATGAGGCGGAGGAGGGTGGAGGTGACGAAAAAGTGGATTAGAATGGGGATCCAGAAACAACCGTCAGGTGAGAATAAAAAAGAGAGGAAGGGGCCCATGGTGGGGCTAGGCAAAGGAAGGGGAGTAAGGGAAACAACAAAAGCGAGGGCGCAATGCAATGTGTAGCCAGTGGTGATGCAAAAATTTGCCGAAATGCTGAAATGCGGAAAGTACCGGATGGAAAAGCAAAGGTGAGCGTGACTGGATTGCCTAATAGAGGTGGTGCTGATCAGCCACAAGTTCAAAAAAGGCAATATTAATTACTATTCCACGTGGCACTTGTCGGAGATTTCTGGAAGTGGCTGCAAGGTATTGCACTGGATTGCAAGCCCACAATCAACGGCACCAGTTGCAATTGATTATCGGGAAAACCCTTATCTTTGCAATGCAACTACAATCTAATCGTAATCACTGGGTCTGAAACCTGTAATCAATTGCAATCAATATTGTATCCCCTTTAGGAGTATCTGAAAAACAATATTTTTTTGGCTTTGCAAGAGACAAAATAAATTGCAATATTTTATTCCAATTGTAAGTATGGTATTTGTACTGACAGGGACTTGAACCCGCGGCCACCCCACTTGCAAGAGCCATTGCAACCAAGTTTTTTTTTCAATATAACCACTTCGCCAAAGAGCTGACATTACTATAGAAGTGTACATCAATATAACTAATTCTTTTGCTGGACTGCTTGTAATGTACTTACGAAGTGATTGCAACACCACACAAGTATCAGCAAAGGTTGATTTGTAACAAATATGTTAGAGTATGAAATCAAATAGCTACTTGGTACGACGAGTGCGCTTTGTAGTAGTGGTGCCAATTTCAGTACTACCTGTAGCTACTTCTGCAGACTTCCCTTTACCACTTTGACCCTTCTTGGTTTTCATCACCGGTGCATTGGTAATATTATCTCTGGCCTCCTCCTCTAAAATATCAACTCCATCAGTGCCAACGAGCTTGCGAGAGAAAATGTTATCAGTAGATAAAACATTAATCTGCACGGCAGATGGTGCAGCGGTTGCCACTACTACTTCAATATCATCTTCGTCAGAAAAAATATCCATTTTGGCCATTGCTTGTTCAACTTCTTCGTTATAGTGATCTTCTTGCCCTGCTATAACTGCCTGAATAGTCTTGCGTGAAGAAAAAATGTACCGGTCAAAGATTTTGTATATCTCTTTGACTTGTTTCTTGTCAGCTTTCATAATGAGGATTTTCTTGTAGTTGCGGAACAGGTCAAAGTACTTTAAACCTGATTTGGCACCTTTGCCATCATGTGGAAATTCTTCGTCAGGAGAAACTAAGAAAACAGCCTATATAGCAAGATCAGAATGACAGCCGCTCAGAATAGTCTACTTTTAACTCACCACAACTGCTCCCCATGCTAGAGATCCTGGAGTATTCATGGTGACATCCCATGTTTTTGCATTACTTTTACCACCAGCGCGGCCACCCTCAAGTGACTTTGGTCCATGAAATGCGACTTTGAGAATCTGAGCAACAATGGTAAGTCAGTTCTCGTACATGATTTTAGTGACTACATTACCTTGGCAATTGCGGTACTTCCAAAGACATTTTTCATGTCCATTACACCGTCAGGAAACAGAACAGGTGGGAACATATCATACTTTATTTGCTCTCCGACCAGTTTGGCTCCTTGTAATATTTTCAGCTCCGGAACTGAGGTCCTGTCAAACAGGACTTCAAAATAATGCTGTGGGAGACCAAATATTTTGCTGGCTTCGCCACGAATTTTGAAAATGACATCTGAACGGCCACTGCGTAGCCTTTTTTGAAACTTAGATTATAAAAAAACAATTTGTTACTTTTACATATGAAATGAATGGCGTAAAACAGACATACCAGGTTGCCGAGATGCTGGCTATCCTTCATTAAACGATGGAAGTGGATGGGAATGAATTCATGCAGTTCTCTAATTTGCGTCTGCTCTTCCGCAAGTGCTGATGCATAGCGTTTTGGAGAGTCCACTATCGGCACATCGGATCCAGCTGGCCGTTCTGCTCAAAACCACAGTAAATTTACCGACATATCAACCATAATCCCATATTTCTTTGCGAGCTTCCCAATCTCCTCATCGTGAGCAATGACCTCCTTTGGGACAGCTGATGCCCGAGCTCGTGTAGGCTGCTTTGCCTTAAGCAATGCATTGTCCCTTTTCAGCCGCCTGTTGTCATTGCGGATCTCATGTAAGTGCAGTTGCGTAGCCTGAAGTGCCTGTGATGATGCTTGATTTTTATGATCCGCAGAAGGCAACGCATTTACTTACTTTTCTGAGCTCTGCAATGGATGCACCATCTCCCGGCATCGCAAGTGCCAGGAGATCCTGTCTATGGCTGTTATTAGATGACTGGCCCTCAAATGTGTGCTTCTTGTTGCCAGGTTCGTCACAGCTCTCCTCCGAATCATCACAGTTGTCAGTTGTTTCTGAAGAAAAGACACGATTAAAGTTCTCTTGTTCATCTGAGTCTGAATTGCCGTCATGTCGTCTTGCACCGTGTTGAGGCATCTGGCTGAGGAATGTTGGGTCACGTCAATGCTGGGAGGGCAAACATAAACAGCGAGATTTTAAAGCAGTTGCAGCCGACTTACATAAAATGAAACACGAGGATGCTGCGTTTCCATTATGTATACATTGTAACATGAGGATGCAGCAAGCCTTTGGTGCGTTGGATGTATGACGTTCATATTACATCAAACGCCTTTTCTCCTGTCGTTTCCACTACCGATGATGTTACCATTACAGATAATCTTTTTCAAGTTTGCGGTAGGAATGATGGTACTCTCGGCGTAGGACGAGTAATGAGCAAGATTCGGAGTCTAATATAAATTTAGTGATCAAACGAATGCGGATAATCATCCTGTCAGTCTACTCACCCACTTATCCTGACCCAAAATCAGCCTGGCAAGCCAAATAGCAGCAGCAGCTATCAATGATGGAGGTGCAGCCAACAATCTCCACTCTAGGCATTGAATCTCGAGGAAGTACTTGACAATCGTGCGAGCCTTCACGTCATATTCGTCTGCCTTGCTGATCCGCCTCAAGAAGTGCATTGGGCTGGGATAACTCAAATTCCAGTCGAGCGTCTTCAAGACATAGCACTCTGCTTGGAGGATCTCAGTTTTGAGCGAGATAGGTCCAAGAGTATTTGCTTCCCTGAGAGATATAAGAAAATCCCAGAAAGCGAGCAGAGCTGGGTGTGTCCAAGCGATCTGAGAATTGTTCGCTACCCCTGATACTGGGCCACTGGGAAGCAGAATGTCCTCGCCCGGTAGTGGATCCAATATGACTGCGACGGTCGCGTCATCCCAGGGTGGTCTTCCACGTACAGGAATAAGCTAAGCTCCCCTAGCATAAGGAGTATCCAGATATTCCAGGACTGATTTGGAATTATATGGTGAAAATGGTACTTTGTCTGTTGTGGCATAGGGCTTAACGCGCAACGCGCAACGCAGTTTTAGGCAGGCAATCTGTAAAACGGGCAGAGTAAAAATGGGGCTATTGTGCGATCCATTTAGGACGATTAATGTTGAAAGTTGCTCTAAGCCAAAAGACCACGAACCTGAGGTATCACTGTGAAAAGTGGAGAGATGTCATAATGGGTCCTTTTAGATGGCCTTACCAAATCATTTGGAGACGGTTCTTGTGAAAGAGATCGAGCTCTACGTCGAGAAGTCCTAGCCTCATCTGTGAGCGGTTCAGGATCTTGTATTTCGGACTCGTGTCTGTTTATTTTCCCCGGGCGTTTTCGGTCATAACTATGAAAATAAACAGACAAATATTCAAAGTCTGTGCTTTCAAAGCTAGATAAATCATCTAGCGTGAAGTAGTCCCAGTCCGTAACGCCCGGGCTTGCCCCCCAGTCCTTGAGATCCCGAGCCCACGAGCCAAGCCTTCCTTGTTCCTCCGACGCTAAAGTAGGAGGATCTAAAGCAAACTTGAATAGTTTCCTATCGGAAAGGTCTAAGAATGAATTCAGTTCATTGACAATACCCAAACGAGGACAGATAGTGCGCACCAAAGTTGTATTCGCCAAAACTCGCACTGGTGTTCACCCAACCATTTGAATAACACGCAGCATTTACGAGAGCCCTCCCGTTTTCAACAAGAGACGTTGGCGAAGATAAGTGTACGAAGAATCGGCACAGTACAAGAAGTGCGCAACGGATGGAGCCACAATTTCTTCAACCTTTGCCGCGACAAAAAGGCAAGTGATACCGACTAGTTGCAACTTTGCAAGGGAAACGACGCGTGCGGAAAGGAATCGATCGATAAGGTTAACGCACAAGAACAGCGTTTCTGGCAAAAGACGAAAACGGACGTGGACTTGGACCAGCCAGTCAGTGAGGATTCCACGCATCTTCCACGCAAGCTCTTTCTGGCTTTCCATGTAGTTCGGGTTGGGCATAGTGGTAAGCTGCACGTTATGAATCATCGGTGATATAGTTAATGAGTATGTCAAAACAATGCGCACCTCGATCTCTTTCATGTAGTTAAAGATCTCAATCACATACTCGCTAACCATCAAATGGTCGTCTGCATCCTCGGCATCGAGGTCATCCCATTGGTCACCGTAGGGATCTGCCTCTGGTTCACTATCTGCGTAAGCTTCAAGAGCAGCTTCTTCGGCTTCCTGTTGTAACTGTTCTTGTTCGAAGAGTTTCACTTCGTCAGGGATGTCTGAGGACGTGCGCCGCTTCTTGAAGACACGATTGTCCTCGACGTCATCCTCGTGCTTTGCGGGGGCCGAGTTGGCAGGCGAGTTGGAACCTCTGATGGACAAGTCTCGTCTACAACGGTTTGCAAAGCTAAACCCGAACGTCTCGTCGAGACCCGGCGTGGCTGAGGTTCTGCTGAGGGAGCTGCATTGGTAGTTGGATGGTCATCGATTGCCATGGCATCTTCATCTGCAACCTTTCCAGACTCCTCCTTCACCTTGTCCAGATTCTGCACTTGAGGTGCCACAACTGTACTCCTTGTGGCAAGACGTGTCGTAGAACCTGAGACAGTGCACAATGGTTGCCTTGCTGCAGCAACCAGGGACGGTTTTGACTTGATCACGACGCCATCAAATTTCTCCTTAACCTCCTTGACGGGATCAGCTTCTTTCCTCTTCCCTTTGACTTCCTTAGCTGGAACGTTAGTGGTTTTGTTCTTGTTCACGAATCTCGTGACTTCTCCCAGAGCCTCACGCTTTCTCTTCCCTTGAGCGGCGAGATTGACCTTGTTCTCATCATTACCGTTCGCCTTTGCTCAAGATGCAGCGGTTGCAGCAGTAGCTCAGGTCAGACCACCAATCGTAGCAGTACCAGAGCCATTCGATGATGGGGGTTTCACTCGGGCAGTAAGACGCGATGGACGAGCATTGGCATTCTCGTTATCTTTAAGAGTTGTCGTACGAGTTGTCCGCGTTACACGCCGTGTCTATTAAATGAGCGATGAAGTCACAACAACGAGCGAGTAAAAGATAGAGAAAGCTCACAGGAATATTCGAAGCCATGAACAAGAAATGTCCGTTGAACAATAACTAGGATATGATAGACGACAGAAATGAAAAATGAAAGGGTAAGAACGTTGCAGACTGAAGCCAAAGGTGGAGAACGACGGAATATCCATACTAGGGACTGCTTGTCTGTTCCCAGTTGTCCTTAGGTATGCTTCGCTGGCAATTCGGACCACATCTTCTTTGTGCGCAAGAACCAATCAGAATCGACTGTGTCAATGAGAAAGAAGTCGCCAGAAACTTCGTAGTCTGGGGCCATAGCTGCACCACGAACTATTGAACGAAGAGGGACGAACTCAGCATCTGAGCGTGACTTTTCCCGAATTCGCCAGAGCCCAAGGTCCTTGTCTTTGTGTCGCCGCCGACCTACTGGAGCATCATATGGTTGAACCAGCGCAAACGGATAATCAACCTGATCAATGGTACAAATAAATAGCATGATGAGGCGAGCGAAAATCCTTGAGTCCACTGTTTGCAGTAGGACACAATCATATCGTGGATGATTGTAAAACCAAGGGTTACATCGAAGGTAATTGGTATATTGTCGCCAATCGACTATAGATTCATAGTCAACTTTCATGAAACAATATTCTGTAATCTTGTCTTCAGCCCCCAATTTGATGCGTTTCCCACCAGGGAATGCTATATTATTTGCGCTGAAAAATATGTTAAGGTAATTTGAGAGCCTTATACGAAAGCTTGTGAATGCTGTATCATCCTTGCGTGCTTCTTCCAGGCCTTGAAATGATGTTGCAGGACACTTTGAGCCTAGCGACACATGACTCGTTTCGGTGATCTTCAAGTCAACTTCATCCCCTTCGAGATCACCCGTTAACTGGCTATCAAAAGCTGCTATATCCTGGCGGATAAAGCATGACACCAGACACCAATGGTCAGCCTGAAGGATCTAAGTGATGATATCAGATACTGGTTGTCCTTATAAATTAGACAGACCAACCTGTTCAGCAACGTGTTTGAAGTTTGTTCGGAATCGATAAGAATCCTTGAGTGGGCCATGTAACTGCTCGTTTGGTTTTGTATTGTAGTTCCGGGTTACGCCTTTTGCTTCGATGTCTTCAAATGCATGTTTATTCATGTGCATCTTCGGAAAGTTCCAACTTTTGTCTCTAAGTCCATCTGCCGCCTTTAAATATTCCTGCACAAGTCTTTAATAATTAATGAAAAATAATGATGGCAACCTACATCCATAGCTTGTGAAAATAGCTTCAAAGCTTGTCTACCAGCTGCAATAGTCTCTGTCGTGTGAACTGTTAGTCCTGTATACATATCAACATCAAGGAAGAGGCGAATGCTCTTCAAAAGAAGATGTGCTGGCTTGTGTAATCGAACATCAAATATATTGTGCGAAGCAAAGATAACCATCTACAATAGGTATTTAAAAAACGACGAAGGACGAACCATACTGATTATACCTTGGATATATCTTCATGCTTTGTTGCATCCGAAAATTCTATGCTAGCCACTCTGTCAAAATGGTTCAGATTTCGCCAACGAGGCATACCATTGAACCTAGTGTGATTTAATATATGTTATAAGTGTTAATAAGATAAGAGTGCGTACTGATCATCAAGCTGATGGGATGCTGCTCGGCCCTCTGCTTCTATCCAGAATAGAAACTCCTTCCAGAGATGATGGCCCCATAGGCCACTATTATGTGCATGTAGCCGGTCCCAAGATAATGCTTGATGCACATCAGAGTAACGGAACCTCCAAAAGACATTCTTATCCCATATGAGCATAATATAGCAGTATTAAAGATATCTCACCTTAACAGGACGAAGTCCACAGTTCTTGAGGACAATTTCCTTGTCTGCCGCTGTTTGCTGCTGCTCCGCTTCTAGTAATATAGATTCTGAATGAGCACTGGTCCGACGAGTAAATGTCTGTGTTGTATCTGAAAGTTTGTCCCTCGGTACAAGGCATATTGGGCACGGAAAATTACAATTTGTCCCACGTAATGAAGACATTGCACATCTATGAAGGATAAATAACTAGTTGATGAATACAAAGAATTTACTTACTGTTCCTCGTAGTCAGCAGAAAGTATCAAAATAATAGGGAAAAGATAAAGAACATCACCCTCAGTGCGCTGATAATAATAGCCAGTCTTGGCGTGAAGTTCTAAAGATTCAACAACTTTCAAAAATGATTCATGCCATACGACATTCTTGAAGTTAGCAAAACTCTTTTTACCCTTATGTTCCTCATCTTCCGGCACCTGTAATGAATAACCATTATGCTCTGTATAATAGTGTGGATTGAATAATATATACCACCGGAAGCCACCCTACAACTCTTCCACCTCCGACACCTGTACCATTTCGGATATCAGTGGGCAAGTTTGCACATCGTGCAATTACGGGATAGCCCTTTACAGTCCCGGAAGAAGACAGAATTGTTTTATCAGCATATAAAATAAAACATAGAGGCTTTCCACCATCTGGAAGCCTTGACTACAACATGTACATTAATTGTATACAATAGCAAATAAGTTCAACATCACGTACTTGAATATCCCAGAAATCCCCAGCTGTCCATGGTTCGTCAATGAATTGTACAAAATTGTCACCGTTAAATTTGGAAAGCCGTTCGGCATCAAATACAAAGTGCTCTGAGAGGTGCGGGTTCCCTAATAAGTCCAATGCCCAATCCCACAGCGAACGAAAATGAACATCAAAGGAATGGTCTTTGCCTTGATATGGTACATTGATTACAGTCTTTTCAAACTGGACTTATTTGTTGTCAGTTCTCATACGCAATAAATGTGTACAATATCACAAACCGGAGTTAGGGCATGAGAAGCAATCTTCCATGTCTCGTAAAGGTCAGATTGATCTTTCAGAGTGAACGAGCCAGGGTCTTGTATACTCTGGTGAATGACCTTGACTAATCTATTTATCTGGTCTTTATTTAACGCTGCTTCAAGAGCGACCTCCGCAAATTCAAAGTCGACCCGGGATTTGAATGGCTGCCACGGACATGAGTTTTTGATGCGTGCTTTGCCAGAAAATCCACGTTTGAAATCAGAGAAATGGTCCACTTTTGCAGTGCGGCCACTTGTAGGGTGGTACTCAGTTTTGATATCATCTATTTGAAGACTTTCCCCCATGAAGTTCAGCCCGACAGGGGGTGCATCATGAAAACGAGATGATCCTGTAAAGATAAAATAGTAACGACCGACAAGCACCAGACTGATATATACCTACCATAGTTATCTTCTACGTCAAAATTGGTGTCGGTGTTTTCCCATACATGTTTTGACGAAGATCCCACTGCAAATTGTTTCTCTAGTTTTTTCGCTAAGCAGAAACGTTAATGAGTACTCAGTTTCCATGTCAGACTGATCTGCCTACCTTCTTTTTTTTCTTTCCGAAGCTGCTTGTCTAATTGAAGGTCTTGCGCCAAATCTGCCATCCGCTTTATACATGTTGCTTTGTGTCTGGGGAGGCCCATAGGCTTGAAACGTCCCCCGCAGGAAGGGCAAGCTTTGAGGCCATCATCGTGATTGTCGAGAGCAATAGATTCTGTGTGGAGATACACACTGGGAACCTTTTGCTTGTCCTTCGGCATGTTTATCAAGGAGTTGTTGATACAGAGTTCTTGAGGATAGAGCTTGAAGCCAGTACAGATATACAGTTATGGGCGAAGCTGACTATGTACAGACAGATTGAAGGACGTCGTCGTTGGTGAGAGCGAATCGATGCGGACGCAATACGGTTGCCATCTGGTTGCAACCGAACCGGCCGACTGTTAGTAAGCTACACTGCTTGCACGCTGCTTATCACACCAACCCAATCACGTGCTCTTGCAACCAGTATAGGAAATCTCCGACACTGTGCCTGTGTGGCGCAAAGGCGAGTCTTTTTGAATATTCGCTTCGTTATTGACACCTGTCCATGCTACCAATCAACTTTGGTGCATGACACTGTGTGACCAGCTCCACTGCGTGAGATACTTGTATCTAAAATAAGAATAAAGGCAGCACCGCGCGAGAAAGGTGGAGTTTGAACTACAAGGGGAAGTGCCACATGGCACAGTGTGAAAACTACAGTACAAGGTTAAAGCGGAGAATGAAATTTAAAGGAAAGGTCCGAAAATGAAAAGTAAAGTAAATGGTCACATGACTTGGTCATGTGACTTGGAAAATAAAAGTAGAAGTACAAAAGTGAAGCATAAGTAGGTGCTGGTATGTCAATTGTAACATTGGGAATACAAGAACATTCCTATTCCTCCTGGAATCAAGAATGAAGTCATAGAATTGCTCAGAGACAAAATCAAAGCTGGAGACTATGAGCCTAGCCAGTCGTCTTATCGCTCTAAGTGGTTTTGCGTTCAGAAGAATTCTAGTACTCTCAGAGCACTGCAAGACCTGGAAACTCGTCTAGAAGAAACTATTGAAGCCTCTATCCCTATCCCCAATGCCAGTACCTTCGAAACATTCTTTGACTATATTCGCTCAATCAGGGAAAATGAAAGGTCTGCTATTTTTGGTTTACTGAACAACCTTCAATATCGTCACAACATGAGTTCACTCTCACTAACTTCAGACTATGTCGTGAGAGGACACCATGGCTTTGATGAAAACCACAACCTTTATGCGGATTATGTCCTGCTCCATGCTCATTTGCGATTTGACCAGAATCATGGACCTGGAAGAGCACAATCTATTATCAGTCGCTCAGGAACTGCACATATTCGCTTCTTTCCTCAAACAGAGTCATTTCCAATTCCCACTGATGAAGATATAAATGGACCTCCATCACGTGATATGAATGGTCAAGTCAATGTGATGGTGGAGGTAATACAAGAATCCAATTCGGAGCCAATACACAATCATATAAATGGATTAATTAATGATGACTCATCCACTGATTCTGAATCACCACCCCCATATTTGCGTCAACAGTTACCATCAAATATCAGTGACTCACCCCCATCACCATCCTCTACCAATGCTACTATTGCTTCATCACTTTCTCCTGATAATCGCACACTCATGCACCATAATTGCACACTCATGCATACTATTCGCAATGATAGTCAAGAGGATGAAAGGGAGATTGAATCCTCACCTCCCCTTCACTTATCCTTCTCCACAACAATAGGAGCGGAGCATCAACCTTCCATCAATATATCATCCGATATTACTCTTTATCTTCAAACTTCCATGCATCACTATCATCATTTTCCCACGTCACCATCAGCTCAGCCATTATCAATTATTCACACCAGTACCAGAAATTCTACCCCAATTCTAACACATCTTCACTCCATCCTGAACGCTTACATCAAGCATTACAAGCACCTAACATGTCCTGGCTCGAAGGGTTTCATATTACTAAAGAAGCTCTCATCATCGAGATTGTGGTGGGAGTGTTACTTGTCCTCGCCCTTTTCTACGGTTTTGTCTTCCCTCATATCCGCGCTTATTGTCGATGAGAACGTGTTGAGGTTATTCACCTCCACAACAGGACAACTCATCCATCCAGTGCATCTACATTCACCATCAGCACTGAGGTACTTGCTAGTGCCACAGTTGAAGTTTGAGGTAGATGCTGGTGATACATTTCTATATTCCTTTCTTACTTAACACTCCATTCAGCGCTCTTGGACCATATGCCATTTTTTCCCTTTTTCTTCTTTCTTGTTATATATCTATTACTTGTACAAAATGGCCTCTTATATTTCTATGTTATCGGGTTTTTCCTTCCTTTACTCTTGTACCAACTTCTTTTTCTATTGTCTATGTTCCCCTTTCGTTCTTATGTGATCTTTTTCCTTCCCCCCTTGTAAAACTTCCGACCTCATCCCTATCCTATTCGGTCCGAGATGATGCAAAACTACCACGGCACTTTCCTTCTTTGAACACTTTTTGTTTTAACCCTAGTTACATGATAGACATTGTGGACCCTATACCTGTACCAGCACCTGATTGGTCAAGTTTTGGACCTTACAAACGTGTTGATCGCAAAGTCAAACCTGTTCCTGGAGTATTCCCAGAAGATGCACGTGTCACTCGGTCATTTCCAGAAGACCCACTCCTTTCGCTCCCACCCCTTCCTGTCCTTCCCCAAGAATTCATGCCCACACCAAAGCTCATCAAGGAGCGCCTTTATGACGAAATGAAGCTAAACTCTGATGGATTCTTATGGGATAAAGGAGAGGATGACAAATGTAGATGACTTAATAAAGAAAGTAAAAGAGAAGATAGAAAAGAAAGAGGACGGTGTCATGCACCAAAGTTGATTGGTAGCATGGACAGGTGTCAATAATGAAGCGAATATTCAAAAGACTCGCCTTTGCGCCACACAGGCACAGTGCCACGTGGAATAGTAATTAATATTGCCCTTTTCGAACTTGTGGCTGATCAGCACCACCTCTATTAGGCAATCCAGTCATGCTCACCTTTGCTTTTCCATCCGGTACTTTCCGTGTTTCAGCATTTCGGCAAATTTTCGCGTCGCCACTGGCTACACATTGCATTGCGCCCTCGCTTTTGTTGTTTCCCTTACTCCCCTTCCTTTGCCTAGCCCCAACATGGGCCCCTTCCTCTCCTTTTTATTCTCACCTGACGGTCGTTTCTGGATCCCCATTCTAATCCACTTTTCCGTCACCTCCACCCTCCTCCTCCTCATTTTATTTGCACCCACACCATTTCTGATGTCACCACTTCCTATCCGCTTCCGTTGCCGATCCGTTGACTACCATGTGCCACTGCTGATATCAGCAAAGCCCCGGCGGCCGGTTCAAATAGGGCAACAGGTCCATCTTTATGACGTCGATCTACCATCATATACTATCAAAACATCGGTCGCTCGTCTTGCCTGGTTGGAGCGTGGGTGGGTAATTTTTGAGCTGGAGAAGGTTCATCCCCTTGCGTCGCCCATGTTCATCGCTGTCCCATTCACTTGGGTACACTTATCTTTTGTCCATCGTCTTCGCTACAGCTACACCTACCACACGCTGCCTGGGACTCACTTGTTCCAAATTGGAACTACTCCTCTCCCTCCCTCGTTTGATCAGGTGGTCCAACACAACCAGTTCATTGGTAAGGCCATGGAACTGTCAGATTTGGACTAGGTGGTGGACCGGTGGCTCCAGTTTCTTTTTCTTCAGCAGAACATTCATTTACAGTGCGATTATTTTTGATTTTTGAATCATTTTTATGGACACATATTTTTTTAGAATGTCTGACTAACAATAAAGGAACTGTGTTGATACTGATAGTGTTTTGCCTTGCCCTTTTTTTTACTGCATCTTCCCATGACATTATGATTTTCCTGCTCTCTTTTTGCTATTGGACTTTACTTTATGGCTGTACAAACCTGTGACATTACTCACAGCATTCATTGTTCTATCTCTTTCTTTTCCTTTTTTTGACAATCTTATCCTGTACTACCTACGCAGGATTCGTTAGCATACATTCCTTCCTTCATATTCTTTCTCATTCTTTTTGCACAGCTATACTGTGCATAGCCTACTTTTCTTTTACTATATAAACCCCTGTATTTTACCTTGTAAGAAAACAACAAGAAATCCAATCCAGACTTCTTCTCTACTCTCAAGTTCACTACTCTGCTACTTGTGATCCAGTGTGGTCACAACACTTCCCACTTCTACCACTGTCAACTGCTGTCATTGTCACTTCCCACTTTTGAAGTCATTGTCATCCCTTTCGATTAGAGTCCTTCTGAGCACTACAGTTTGTGCGTCAGGAGCCTGCTATCACTGGGAACCTCGTCACCTCGTCATCCTCGTCATTCTCAAACCTACCTTGTGCTACCATTAGCAAGGTAGTGCTCGTCTATACTCGCCACAAAGCACCTATCTTCCTATAAATTCAACTATCCCTCCTCCTCAAAACCCACACTCATACACCTCTGGGTTTTACTTTGAAGGATCTTTATACGTACCACCCCACGAACAACCAGACCACTCCACTGTTCTAGGAGGCAAAGCCCATAAACAAGTTCCGTGGAATCTGGGAGGATTGTGTGTTAGTTTGTTTTGTGTGTGGTTTTCTAACAACAGTTCTCATCATCAACAGCGTAAGTAGGTACTTGGTATGTCAATTGTAACATTTTGTAGAGCTTCATAGCCCTATTGATTTTGTGAACCTCTTCTGCCGCCAATACAAGGTTTTGTTTCTCATATTCTGCAGATAGAATGGTTCTGCAATGGCTGGTGCCACATTGCACTCCAACAACTCTACTGCATGTTCATTACCAAGATTCCCCTGGATTGAGAGGGCCAGGAACTGGGTTACAAGATCATCTGTCCTCACGTTTCCTTGTTTGAAGGAACAAATTTGCTGATGCACTTAGTCACGCTGAGCTTGTGGTTTGAAATATTTGTCAATTTTAACTTTGAATTTGTCCCAGGTAGGCCAGTAACTAGTGGTGTAGCACTCCTGGAGTTTTACTTGGGTGTATCAACTCGCCACAGGTCCTTGTGAGGCAGCATCAAACTATAACAAGACAACACCTGTCTCTGACTGCACTTGCAGGGAGTAAGAGGTACAATGAGTTCTGAGGTTGATAGATGCTAGAGATTATAGCAGATAAAGGACTGAGAGTAAACTCAAGGGTTTTGATAAGGAGTAAAGTGGGTGATTCAAGTAATAAAAAGCTAAAGAAGAACTATGCATGAGTATGTAGGATTTTTATAGCTAATTGTCTATCTCTTAGACCAAAAGAGGAATAATAGAAGAAGTGGTCTGAGGATGAAACTAACCAATAAGAAAAGAACAGCTTATTGTACAACTTCTAGGATTAATCAGCAGGTGAGAGAATATACCAATAATAGATGTGTCAGGCATGTTCAGGAACTGTTTCCTCATGATGAGGTACAATCCTGGCTAGAGCCTCTATTATTATCTCGAAGAACTGGTGGGACTTGAAGCTGGTTGGCAAGATCTCAGCTATTAGTCTTTACCTATTGTGCTGGCTGGCTGGGAATACTACCCAGTCTCTGATCTGCAATATAAAGTGGTAACAATGGTTGAGAAAACCCGTTAGGGCAATAAGGAGAAGTAACAGGAAAAGTGTTTGAGAACCAAGACATGAAAGCAAAGATAATAAGAAAAGTAAATGATCCTTACAGTCCTTTGAGTCTTAACAGCACAGCTATTATGATTTTAAAATCATCGGCAAATGCATCCCAGTTTGTCTTGATCCAAATTTAGAGCTTGATCCACCATTCAGCAAATTGAGCCTGGTCTTTTTCAAAAGTGCCAGGGTCAGCAGCAATTTTGACTTTTTTTGTTGAATTTTCACTTCACTTGCTCAGATGGGTTTGCCTGAAGCTTGCTAAGCTGCACTGTCAATGCTAGAATCTGTACATGTATTTTGTGCAGTAGTGTGCTGACATCAGGTTGTTGGGTTCTCAATGACATGTTAACTTGTTCAATATGTAAAAGTAAAAATAACTAGGGGTCCCCGTTTGCTATCTGTGGATCTACCTCTTCCCAGCTGAGTATTGGATCTTAATCTCTGACTACCCACGCTATAGTATTTGTAATTGTGTATATAAAAAGTAAATGTAGTAAACCCTGGCCCTGGTCTAAACAGTTGTTAGGGGCTGGTCTGCCTATTAGGCTATCAACCCTTCTCCAGACTAGCAGAGACAAGTGCCTAACCTGGTCAGAGATACTTGAAGAAGAAGATGTTGTATGTAAACTAGCAACAGAGGTTCCACACCATCTGCTGCACTAAATACTCCCCTTAACACTGGGGGCCGTTGTCATTCACCAAAGTTGATTAGTAGCATAGACAGGTGTTAATAACAAAGTAAATATATAAAGACTTGCCTTTATGCCACACAGGCATAGTGCAACATGGAATAGTAATTAATATTGCCTTTTTTGAACCTGTGGCTGATCAACACCCACCTCTATTAGGCAATCAAATTGTGCTCACCTTTACTTTCTATTTGGTACTTTCCGTATTTTGGCATCTCAGCAATTTTTTGCATTGCCACTGGCTACACATTGCACCCTCGCTTTTGTCATTTTCCTTTCTCCCATTCCTTTACTTAGCCCCACTATAGGCCCATTTTTGTCCTTTATCTTCTTACCAGACAGCCATTTCTAGATCCCCATCTTAATCCAACTTTTTGCCACCTCTTTGCCCCTCCTACTTGTTTTTCTTGCTCCTCCACCACACCTGATGTTGCTGCTTTCCATCCTTTTCTGTTGCCAATCTGTTGACCACCACATGCCTCTGCTAATCTCAGCAAAGCTCTGGCAGCCAGTCCATCTTCATGATATTGATCTTCCATCATCCACTATTAAATCATTGGTCGCTCATCTTGCCTGGTTGGAATGTGGGTGGGTAGTTTTTGAGTTGGAAAAGGTCCATACCCTTGTGTTGCCCATGTACATTGTTTTGAACAAAGGTTGAGAAGAAACACTACACAGAAGATTAAGTCTCAGTCTCTAGTTTCAAGGATTTTTCTTTGAGTCTAGGAATAATCAGTAAAGTATAGTAGTATAATAAATGTCTCACCTCAGTCTCTAGTTTTGAGAGCTGAGGTGCAAGCTGGCTGTCATGCTATGTATAAGTATGTGATTATGTTATCTACTCTAAAAGTGTATACTGTCAAAGTCCAAGAACTGTTAGAGTATATATGAGAAATCTTTCTACTTTCAACACATTACTCTCCTATTTGCTTGGGTACATTTATCTTTTGTCAATCACCTTTGCTACAGTTACACTTACCACATGCTGCCTGGGACACACCTGTTTCAGATTCAAACTACTCCTCTCCCTCAGGCTCCCTTTTTTGACCAGGTGGTCCAATACAACCAGACCATTGGTAAGACCATGAAACTGTTGGATTTGGACTAGATGGTGGACTGGTGGGTCCAGTTCCTTTTTTTTCAGCAGAACATTCATTTGTAGTGCAATTATTCTTGATTTTTGAATCATTTTCATGGACACATATTTTTTAGAATGCCTGACTGACAACAAAGGAACTGTGTTGATACTGATGATATTTTGGACTTGCTTTTTTTACTGCATATTTTTAAGACATCATAATTTTCTTGCTCTTTTTTTGCTAATGGACTTTATTTTATGGCTGTACAAACCTGTAACACAGCATTCATTGTTCTATTACTTTCTTTTCCTTATTTTGATGATCTTATTCTGTACTACCTACACAGGATTCATCAGCATATATT